TTTTTTTTGGGGGGGGGGGGGGGGGGGTGATTAATGGAATCATACCCACTTTGCTAAATTTACAATTGGTATTGATAGGTTAAAGGGCTGATGGTTAGCAGTACAATAACGTGTAGATGGGGCTAATTGGTTAGCAGTACAATAGCATGAAGAGGGTGCTAATTGGTTAGCAGTACAATAACGTGTAGAGGGGGCTAATTGGTTTGCAGTACAATAACGTGTAGAGGGGGCTAATTGGTTAGCAGTACAATAATGTGTAATGGGGGCTAATTGGTTAGCAGTACAATAACGTGTAGATGGGGCTAATTGGTTAGCAGTACAATAATGTGTAGTGGGGGCTAATTGGTTAGCAGTACAATAACATGTAGTGGGGGCTAATTGGTTAGCAGTACAATAATGTGTAATGGGGGCTAATTGGTTAGCAGTACAATAACGTGTAGATGGGGCTAATTGGTTAGCAGTACAATAATGTGTAGTGGGGACTAATTGGTTAGCAGTACAATAATGTGTAGTGGGGGCTAATTGGTTAGCAGTACAATAACGTGTAGAGGGGGCTAATTGGTTAGCAGTACAATAACGTGTAGTGGGGGCTAATTGGTTTGCAGTACAATAACGTGTAAAGAGGGCTAATTGGTTAGCAGTACAATAACGTGTAGTGGGGGCTAATTGGTTAGCAGTACAATAACGTGTAGATGGGGCTAATTGGTAAGCAGTACAATAACGTGTAGATGGGGCTAATTGGTTAGCAGTACAATAACGTGTAGATGGGGCTAATTGGTTAGCAGTACAATAACGTGTAGATGGGGCTAATTGGTTAGCAGTACAATAACGTGTAGTGGGGGCTAATTGGTTAGTAGTACAATAACGTATAGAGGGGGTTAATTGGTTAGCAGTACAATAACGTGTAGAGGGGGCTAATTGGTTATCAGTACAATAACGTGTAGTGGGGGCTAATTGGTTAGCAGTACAATAACGTGTAGATGGGGCTAATTGGTAAGCAGTACAATAACGTGTAGATGGGGCTAATTGGTTAGCAGTACAATAACGTGTAGTGGGGGCTAATTGGTTAGCAGTACAATAACGTGTAGTGGGGGCTAATTGGTTAGCAGTACAATAACGTGTAATGGGGCTAATTGGTTAGCAGTACAATAACATGTAGAGGGGGCTAATTGTTTAGCAGTACAATAACGTGTAGTGGGGGCTAATTGGTTAGCAGTACAATAATGAGTAGAGGGGGCTATTTGGTTAGCAGTACAATAACGTTTAGATGGGGCTAATTGGTTAGCAGTACAATAACGTGTAGAGGGGGCTAATTGGTTAGCAGTACAATAACGTGTAGAGGGGGCTAATTGGTTATCAGTACAATAACGTGTATTGGAGGCTAATTGGTTAGCAGTACAATAACGTGTAGAGGGGACTAATTGGTTAGCAGTACAATAACGTGTAGAGGGGGCTAATTGGTTAGCAGTACAATAACGTGTAGTGGGGACTAATTGGTTAGCAGTACAATAACGTGTAGTGGGGTCTAATTGGTTAGCAGTACAATAACGTGTAGAGGGGGCTAATTGGTTAGCAGTACAATCTCTTTCAGCTAGCCATTAAACATTTCCTTTTCATCGGCCAAAATATTATAAGCCAACTTATCCAACTTACTTGAACTTTAACTTTAATAAAAATAAATTCAAAGATTGTATTTCTTTGTATTTGAGTAACCCACTCTTGACTATAATACATGTCATCAACCAGTTTATCTAAATGAAACGTGTGTGTGGGCCTCAAACCTAAGGACAGTTACACAACAACCAAGGGAAGTAAAAAAAATAATATATATATTAAAACAAAAGAAAGCTTACATGTGTTATCTTGCTTGCAAAGCCACTGTCAGTCCTGTCAGTGAAAGAGACAAAAAGCATTCTTCGAAATTTGGGAGGGAAAATAAAGCATGCCACATGCACCCTAACTTAAAATGGAGGTTATCATTTTTAAAATGTAGTGGCCAGAGAAAGAGAGAAGAACGAAAACATGAGATAATAAGACAGTTAGACCAAAGACAAAGAATTACTGGATGCAACTTATGTCAACCCATTGTTGACAGATTTCTACTATAATAAGACAGTTAGACCAAAGACAAAGAATTACTGAATGCAACTTATGTCAACCCATTGTTGACAGATTTCTACTATAATAAGACAGTTAGAACAAAGACAAAGAATTACTGAATGCAACTTATGTCAACCCATTGTTGACAGATTTCTACTATAATAAGACAGTTAGAACAAAGACAAAGAATTACTGAATGCAACTTATGTTAACCCCTTGTTGACAGATTTCTACAATAATAAGACAGTTAGAACAAAGACAAAGAATTACTGAATGCAACTTATGTCAACCCATTGTTGACAGATTTCTACTATAATAAGACAGTTAGACCAAAGACAAAGAATTACTGAATGCAACTTATGTCAACCCATTGTTGACAGATTTCTACTATAATAAGACAGTTAGACCAAAGACAAAGAATTACTGAATGCAACTTATGTCAACCCATTGTTGACAGATTTCTACTATAATAAGACAGTTAGACCAAAGACAAAGAATTACTGAATGCAACTTATGTCAACCCATTGTTGACAGATTTCTACTATAATAAGACAGTTAGACCAAAGACAAAGAATTACTGAATGCAACTTATGTCAACCCATTGTTGACAGATTTCTACTATAATAAGACAGTTAGACCAAAGACAAAGAATTACTGAATGCAACTTATGTCAACCCATTGTTGACAGATTTCTACTATAATAAGACAGTTAGACCAAAGACAAAGAATTACTGAATGCAACTTATGTCAACCCATTGTTGACAGATTTCTACTATAATAAGACAGTTAGACCAAAGACAAAGAATTACTGAATGCAACTTATGTCAACCCATTGTTGACAGATTTCTACTATAATAAGACAGTTAGACCAAAGACAAAGAATTACTGAATGCAACTTATGTCAACCCATTGTTGACAGATTTCTACTATAATAAGACAGTTAGACCAAAGACAAAGAATTACTGAATGCAACTTATGTCAACCCATTGTTGACAGATTTCTACTATAATAAGACAGTTAGACCAAAGACAAAGAATTACTGAATGCAACTTATGTCAACCCATTGTTGACAGATTTCTACTATAATAAGACAGTTAGACCAAAGACAAAGAATTACTGAATGCAACTTATGTCAACCCATTGTTGACAGATTTCTACTATAATAAGACAGTTAGAACAAAGACAAAGAATTACTGAATGCAACTTATGTTAACCCCTTGTTGACAGATTTCTACAATAATAAGACAGTTAGAACAAAGACAAAGAATTACTGAATGCAACTTATGTCAACCCCTTGTTGACAGATTTCTACAATAATAAGACAGTTAGACCAAAGACAAAGAATTACTGAATGCAACTTATGTCAGCCCCTTGTTGACAGATGTCTACAATAATAAGACAGTTAGACCAAAGAAAAAGAATTACTGAATGCAACTCATGTCAACCACAAATTATTATGATTATTATTACAATACATATAAATCTTTGCTTCTTGCATAAAAAATATTTAACACACTCCCACAATGTCCTTAGAAATGGATGAACAGAGAGATCTCAAACTTTGAATACCTGATGCAGCTCAACACGATAGCAGGCCGCACCTACAATGACCTGAGCAAATATATTTATTAATTCTTTAAGTTTTATCATATGATTGTGAATCTAAATAGGCATAAAAAGGGTAGCTAATTTGTGGTGAGTAGTATTGCTGACTTTAGCCTGGCCTCTAATGNTAAAAAATATTTAACACACTCCCACAATGTCCTTAGAAATGGATGAACAGAGAGATCTCAAACTTTGAATACCTGATGCAGCTCAACACGATAGTAGGCCGCACCTACAATGACCTGAGCAAATATATTTATTAATTCTTTAAGTTTTATCATATGATTGTGAATCTAAATAGGCATAAAAAGGGTAGCTAATTTGTGGTGAGTAGTATTGCTGACTTTAGCCTGGCCTCTAATGAATTTACGCTGTTTTGTTGCGTTTAATTTTTCAGGTTTAACCATACTCTGTTTTACTCATTTTATTTTGTACTAACCTGATTGCAGTCTCTCCCCTTATTACCCCTCTAATGGGGGCATGTTTCAAGCTCCTTCTTTTTAACCTGAGAAGAATTTCTGTTTCAACGGGCCCACATTACAACCGCCAGCCATCCCACATTACAACCGCCGCCCAAATCTGAAACTGAATTTATGTTAGATCATAGAATTTCCACAAAAATTTAATAAATTTAATTGTATCCTTATCAAAAGGATAACATTTTGTTTGGAAATGAATAGAATTTTCATTGATCTATGTTTTGTTTCTTCAGTTTCCATGGATACTGATGGATTATACATCCAAGTTTTTGGACCTTGAAAACTCCAATACCTTTCGGGATCTGTCCAAACCCATCGGAGCAGTCAATTCACGCAATGAGGAGGAAGTACGTGAAAAGTAAGTCGGTAAACATGGAAAACATTCCCTTTAGATTATGTCAGAAAAGTAAGTTAATATCAAGGGTAATCAGCCCACATAGATTATGTCAGAAAAGTAAGTTAATGTCAAGGGTAATCAGCCCACATATATTATTGTTACAAAAGTAAGTTTATGTAAATGGTAACCAGACCTCAAAGACTGTTAGATGACGTCATGCTGAAATCCATCCATTGTATTGGACCCACTTTGTAAAATCTGGATTGAACAACCACTCTGACAACAACCTATATATCCTTAAATTCACACTGCAGAACTTTTTCCCAAATTAATGATATCCTCTTCTATTACTTCTTTCATAAGGTTAATTTTAGTTTCCATATTAATCAAATTCCCTTTTTCTCTTCCTTCCTAAGGTTAATTTTATTTTTCCTATTAGCAATATTCAATTTTTTTGCTTATTTCATGAGGTTAATTTTTAAAAATAAAACCTATATTTATTGATTATAATATGTTCGACAATATTTCTTGTTTACCTTAGTATCAGAATGCCAGTACTTTCCAATAAGTGGAGACCCAGTACTACTGCCATCATATACCTCTATATAATCATATGGGCATCCTTCAACATCATATTCAGAGAAGCTAAGAGTAAAAAATAAATTTTCTAAATATATTTTTATAAAATTAATAATTGGGTAAACAACCTTTGACGTTGGCCTAATTTGAATTATCTCTGATGTTACTGATGTAATACATAATAAGGAAATAAAATAATAGCAATAGTAATATAAATTTTATTAAAAAAATTTTAAGGCAATCTTTCTCGCTGAAAACAGATTAAATTAATTGCTTATTAGATGAACATAGGAAAATTATTTTAAATTCGTAAATATTACTGTAAATATTAATAATATTTTATATATAATTATTATAATAACTTACACTTAATACTGTATCTACTCTAAGTTACTTTTTATTAGTAAGTAGTAAATTGAAGGATGGTGAAACATTCACTCAGATTATTACTACTACTACTACTTACTTTTCAGTACTAAATTAATTAACTAACATTATTACAATATCTAAGCCTAACAAGACTCATTTGTCAAATGATTTAAAGTTAAAATGAGGCCTTCTAACTCTACGTCTACTGACTACTTCTTGTGTCACAGTGTTATTTCGAAGTGCACTTTAAATATTAAGAAAACATCTCAAGTTTTCCCTTAATTATTTTTTAAATTTGTTATTTCCTCTTACAATTAAAATATTAATTTAAAAAAAAAAAGTTTTGATTGATTCTGCAGAGTTAACTATATTGTATTGTGATTGTGGCTAGGTTCTGTACTTTACAAAAATATCAATATCAATCACAAATGAGCTTATTTCTTCATTTAATAAGCGATTCTTGGTAAATGTAGAAAAAGCTACCCGGGGTTTCCGCCATCTTGGTGGACACAACCAGTTAATTTTGTCACTAAACCTAAACTAAATCGACCCCTATGCCTAACCTGAACCCTAAATTGATCCCTATGAGCCCTATGCCTAACCTGAACCCTAAATCGATCCCTCAACTTAAACCCTAATTACTAATTCACTGCAACTATAATAAACACGCAAATGACGTCAAAAGTATGATTCTCAACAATAGCTGATAGGGACTTAAAAATGAATAAATTGATTAATAGACATCAGTAAGAAATATTTTCTTAAATGTAAAAAGAAATGTAAATCAAAGTGTATTACTTTTGCAACTAAAAAAAAACAAAAGAAAAAAAAACAGGATTTTCTGCCCCAAAAAAGTGCCACTTGTGGCGACTGCACTTTCACACCCCTCTTTCCCAACTGATTTTTTTCCTCCATTGAAAGTGTCATTTCCAACAACGGCTCAACACATCTTCATTTTCACTAATGGGAATAAATTGTCAAAATTTACCAAAATGCCACTTTCTTAAGAACATCTTAACACAGGACATTAAATAAATTTTACGAAAACTCATTTAGGGTCAAATGTTTACAGTGTCAGAAAATTTACTGACAGATAGCAATCTTGCATGAAACATCGACACAGCTTTGCATCTTGGATATAAAGACCACAAGGGAAAAAACGGCAGGGTCACATTTTTATTGTTTTGAGATATTCCATTTTTAAAGTTCAAAACCATGCACATTAAAAATGTGTAAACAAAATGTAATTTTTAAAATGCATTTCACAAAAGTGTCCATTTCCCTGAGTTATTATAGATAAAGTAGTTCAAACTTGAATGTAACATGATTTATTTCATTATAGTAGAGAGTGAGGTCAAAATGGACTCTGATGTTTTTTCCCTTGTAGTAATTTATCAAGGTTTGATCATTGATAAATATCTATTTAAAACTATTTTATAAGTTAATATTCACATTTAGGGGTCACTGGCAAATTACGTCACGCTCAGAGGGGGTGGGTCGAGAATATGCGACACTTTGTGACGGGGGAAGGTCAAAAATTTTTAAGTTACTTTTTTTTTTTAACCTCTAAAAGTTTTTAATTCTAAAAAAAAAAAAAAAATCATAATTTAATTAATTTTTAAAACATTAATATTATGTCAAAATTGCGTCAGGTATTATAATATAGGTACCATGAAACTCAGTTTTCTAATAATACTACACCTAAATCATTATGGCAGTGGTTCTCAACCTTCCTAATGCCACAACCCTTTAATGCAGTTCCTCATGTTGTGGCGGCCCCAACCATAAAATTATTTTCGTCGGTACTTCATAACTGTAGAGGATATGCATTTGCCGATTGTCTTAGGTGACCCCTTTAAAGAGTCATTTGACCCATAAAGGGGGCGTGAACAACAGGTTTATAACCGCTGCATTTTGGGAAAATATTTGTTGTTGCAGGCCTAGGACACCACATCAATTGCCAGGCCACATGACCCTTGTTGATAAAGGCCTAGAACACCACATCCACTGCCAGGCCACATGACCCTTGTTGTTGCAGGCCTAGGACACCACATCAATTGCGAGGCCACATGAACCTTGTTGATAAAGGCCTAGAACACCACATCCACAGCCAGGCCACATGAACCTTGTTGTTGCAGGCCTAGGAAACCTCATCCATTGCCAGGCCACACGGCCCTTCTTGATACAGGCCTAGAACACCACATCCATTGCCAGGCCACACGGCCCTTGTTGATACAGGCCTAGGACACCACATCCATTGCCAGGCCACACGGCCCTTCTTGATAAAGGCCTAGAACACCACATCAATTGCCAGGCCACACGTCCCTTGTCAGTCTCCAGAAGCAGATCCCCTCTAAACCACTCTTACGAACTGCATGTCCATATTCTTGAGCCAGTTTCCTCCGTAAAGTACCTGGGTGTTACCATTCCAAGAGAGGTCCGCTGGGGCGAGCACATCAACAGTGTTTGCAACCGTTGTACCATTGTCATTTGTGTTTTTTCACAGTTACTAGTAGGTCATCGTACTCCCCAATTGCCTGGCGAACCCTTTCTTTCACTGTTTCATTGGAGATATGGTCCCTATAGCAGATGCCAAAAATGCTTCTGAAGCATCTCATCTCCATCGCCTTTATTTTCCTTTCAAGATCTGCTGTTAATGTCCAGGATTCGCAGGCATACAGGAAAATTGAGAGGACTAATGAGCGCATCAGCCTGATTTTGGTGCTGGGGGCTATATGTTTGTCATTCCATATTTTCTTGAGCCTCTTTAGTGCTGTTGTGGTCTGGGCAATCCTGGACATCACTTCGGGCTTGGAGCCTTCTTCAGAGACTATTGCTCCTAGGTATTTGAAGCTGCCTACAGTCTCTAGTCTTTCCTCCCGACCTTAATTTCAGTAGCGATGCCGTTGGTGATATTAGTCATCAGTTGTTTTTTTTTTGGCACTGATTTGCCTGTCATAGGACGATGAAGTCTTGTCGAGACGCTTTACCAGGTTGGCTAGCTCTTCTTCATTCCCAGCCAATCCATCTATGTCGTCCGAAAAGCGTAGGTTGGTCATTGTTCTGCCATCAATGCTTACTGTCCCTTCATGCGCTTCCAGAGCATCTGACATAATTCTCTCTAGGGGTGGGGGAGAGCAGGCAGCCTTGTCGTACTCCAACCGTGGTCTTGAACCATTATACTCTTGTTAAAACTGAAAACTATTTATTTAAAAATCCTTTAGTACCTTTGGTGGGAGATATTGAGTAAGTTCCACGCTCACATGGCAAAGTACCTGTAGAGCATTTCCTATTATTTATTGGAAGGGAGGGGTCTGGCGGTGTAATGTTAAACCATGATTTATTTTTAAAGGTAACCACTTTATTTCCCCCCATATATTGAAATAGGCCCCTGTTTGTTTGTTTTTGTGGGGGGGGGGGGGGGGTCAGGCATTATAATTATAACATTGCATGTGATCCCTCGGGACGTGGTGTAAAAATGAATGGGAAGCCAGTGTATCTATTTTGTTAGCTCCAACATATAATTACGCCACGAAGACATTACAGGAAGAGAATCACATACATAGATCATGAAGTGGTGAAGTTAAAGGTGTCCGAGGCATTGTAATTGTGATATCAAGCGATTGTCAACACAAAAAACAGTATGATGATCAATACGAAACACTGCAGTGATTTTTAAAAGTCTTTTAACAATAATTAAACATCATTGATTTAGTTTCACATTGGCATTACACATTAGTAAAAAATGCCGGCGGACATTAGCACCCCCCCCCCCGGCGATGATCAATTTCTTAACAAAAAACGACAAATAAAAAAATATTTGAAATGGCTCAAATCCTGTCCCAAGCGCTTTGTGCAATGGTTTCTGTGAGAAAACGTGGTGTTTTACCCTGAGAATAGCACATGCCATGCCATTCTGGAAACAAAGTCCGCCATTAACAGGGTAAACGCAGACCTATGGCTATGGCTTTGCTGTACAGTTTGCTACCCCTCCAAAAGTTTATAAAATCGTGGTGTTTTCAACAGTTTTGCTGTGAGACTGATGGTTGTGAATGAACCGTTGATATCGTGTGTACATTTTGCCAATGCATAGTGAAAGCAAGATGGTTGAAATACGACCATGCACATTAATATTCTTATGATATTATTGGTATACTCAGTGGCGTAGCTAGGGTGAGGGGTGAACCGTTGATATCGTGTGTACATTTTGCCAATGCATAGTGAAAGCAAGATGGTTGAAATACGACCATGCACATTAATATTCTTATGATATTATTGGTATACTCAGTGGCGTAGCTAGGGTGAGGGGAGGGGGGTCCAAATTCGAAAGTCCCCTCCGGGCCCCTACTTGAGGGGTGCCCCCAAAGGCGTGTCAGAAATTTTTTTTACATTAAATAATGTCGAATGTCAAAATGCAGGTGCCCCTAAAGAGGCCAAGCCCCCCGGGCCCCCAAATCCTTAGCTATGCCACTGGATATACTGGTATTTTCTTTGGGTGTTGGTAAAAGTAAAATGTAAATATTATATTCAACTACACGAAGAATGTTGAAACACAACAAAATATCATTTAGTAACTTAGTATTCAAAATGTTTCTCTTATACATGTTACATACACTATGCATGCGCTTTCGGAAATTTTCAGTTTGTTTTCTGTCTTATTACGAATATTACCGATATTTTCAAATTAAAAGGCCGGCACAACTTGTTGAAACACTTAATAATCTGAATAGAACATATATTTAAATTGCTACAAAATATTTAAAAACTCCTCATGAAACTACTGTCGCAAATGAACATGATAATTTAAATATAAAATATTTTAAATCAAAACGGGAAAAAAAACTCGATCCCCTAATGGGAATTGATCTCATAATATAATATCGCCAAGCGTCCACACTACCACTGGACCACACAAGATCTTTTCTAACAGGCAAATCTTAAAACCACGCCAATAGTACATTTTTGCCTCAGTGTACCCAGGCCAAAGCCCACGATTTCACTAGGTACACCGCCGTGGTTTACGCAGGCCAATGCAAATTATGGCTTCGCTAGGTACACCGCCGCGGTGTACGCATCCACTTCATTTTAATTATCATTTCCCGACTATAAAATTAATAATAAAACATAAAAATAAACAAAAAAATAATGTGTTTAGAATTAATTATCATTATCGCTAGTTACTAGTATTAGTAGAGACTAAACGACAGAATAAAAAACAAAACCTTTATGTTTTTATCAAAAGCTCATTAACTCTAATGGCAAGGAGGAGAGAGAGATAAAAATGCAGTTATTAGATCAAGAAGCCCTTATTCCTTATTGATCTTACATATTAAGCCTGGACCCCACCCTTTTATTGTGTTACAAAGTTACCTGACGAATATCTTTGAAGATTTTACCCTAAAAACAACTGGTGGTAAGTTTTAATCTACTCACTTGGTAGCAAAATGCATAAAGAGTAAACTCACAATATTCTTATAACATATGTTATAATGTATTTTCTATGTACAATGGTTTACTTTTATACTAATTTAGGCATTTGGACTAGGATTTAAGTTATTTTCCCTTACTGATAGCATACTATTACTGATACCATTAGTGTTAATTTTATTTATGAATAATCAAATTTTTTTTTCACAGGTTCTTTATTGAGTGAATTTTCTGTGGTGAAAAATGTTACCTACTCTAATGTGGAAATCAAGTCCAGGCCAAGCTCTTATTTATCAATTATAATTATTATAATAAAATGCATACTGTTTTAAGAAATAATATTTGTTCAGTGTCCAATAAATATAATTAAGGAATACTGTAGTTTATCGGCGGGCGTTATGTGAGGATTATAACAAAGATATATAAAAATACCGATATATAGGAAAAAATAGATCAGATTAGTGGGGAATAGATCGTATTGGGCATTAATATCAAAATTAGCAGTATTGTACTGAAACATTTTAATATTTTTAACTTTAACATCAGGGAATACCGGCAAATTAATATTTTAAAAAAAAAACAATATTGGCTTTTTTTTTTTAGTTATTTATATAATCATCAAATTTTACTTAGTTATCTTTTACTCAAGAATTATCAAGGAATATATTTAATATACAAATATATAAGTTATGAGGCCCATTTTTTAAAATATATTACATACAAAAAATAATTTTAATTAAAAGAACATTTTTAGTGAATTTTTTAGAAAAAAAAAAAGACAAAATATAGGTTTTGCTAAAATATTGACAGTTATTTTATTTTTTATAGAATGTTTGTCATGTTTGTTGACTATGAATTGTATTAGATGATGAAGTATTTTATTTAAATAAATTTTAAACCTTTTATAACAAGGAGTTTTTTTCCTTCATACTGTGTGAACATTTTGTCAAAATTGTGCATAAAATAAAAATAATAATACTCCAATTATATTTTAATTATTTTTATAACTGAGAAAATAAAATATAAAAAAAATATATAATGATTTTTTTTCCTTCATACTGTGTGAACATTTTGTCAAAATTGTGCATAAAATAAAAATAATAATACTCCAATTATATTTTAATTATTTTTATAACTGAGAAAATAAAATATAAAAAAAATATATAATGATAGCTGAGTCAAAGATGAACAAGTTAATATTATAACTAATCAGATCAGAGCTATTTCTGATCAGTTAATTAATTATTTTTAAAAATCACCTTAAGATTTTTAAGAAATGTGAAAAAAAACGTCAGAATGCAGAGAGTTAATGCCCTTTAACACCCCCCCCCCACCCCCCAATCCATTTACAACAAGGTTTTTGACTAACAACTTTCACAATTCAGCCTTTTCAAGCTGCTTCTTGTGTGTTCAGGACACACTCCCAGTAGGCTTAAACTTAAATTATAAACTACAATCTTAGGCAAGTTGTTAGGAACCACTTATTAAGCTTCGTATGATGACCCTAATTTTCATTGGTTGAATTATGTTTTTCAATAGAAAAGATCAAATGCTACGGTGGCTCTACCTTTTCAGTGAAGTTGAAATAGTTGGTCTGATCGATGAGGAATACTTCCAGGGCGCTACGTCTCAGGTTGTATCTACGGAAGTGAATCTCCCGAAGTCGAGACAAAGACAACTTAAAATCTTCAGCCCCTGAACACACAAAACAGAATTAGTAAAATAATTAACGTTTTTTAAAAAGCAATTAAAAAATATTTTTTTGCTAGCACATGATTCAATGAGAAAGGATTCTGAGTAGACATTTTTTTAAAGTAGTCATTGTCACTTGAAGCATTTGTGTAGACATTTTACAAGTAGAATGTCACTGTCAATTGACATATTTGTATAGACATTTTAAATGTAGAATGTCACTGTCACTTGAAGTATTTGTATAGACATTTTACAAGTAGAATGTCACTTGAAGTATTTGTATAGACATTTTACAAGTAGAATGACATTGTCACATGAGGGGCTGTTAATTAATTATGTCAACAAAATAGGGGGGAGGGAGGGGCTGAAAATTTTTGACAATTGTTGACAAGGGGGAGGGGAGGTCAAGAAAAGTTGACAACAATGTTACATTTTTTAATAAATTTAATTACTTAACAAAGGAAAATTAGGCAGCGTTTGTAGTCCTGTGTTACACACTCGCCCAACCTTCAGGATTTTAATTAAACTAACTATATTCCTACTTTTTAAAAACCGTGCTGTGCTTTAAAAAGACCCCCCACACAGAACTAAATATGCACACACGAGATGGTTACTCATAAGACTATTATTTTTTCGAAGTTGTTGTTTGTTGGTCTGCTGTGAAAATGAAGATTTATGTAAGTGCACAGTCTACATTATATTATTTAAGTGTCTATATGAATTATAAAATGCATTATTGGTTATACTAGACTCTATTAGAAATAATTGGCTTTCACTGTGAAATTGGATTAGGTCTAAAGTTAAAGTACTAAAAGTGAGGAGGATTGGCCCATTCACGGATGTGACTCTGCACTGTACATCAATTAGGATATATATTTAACATTATCTAGGACTTATTTGAAATCTTACAAATACATTACATCTCTGGAATGTTCAGAATTATGAAATATTGTTAAATTGACCTAGGCCTAATTGTTTTTTTTGTTTTTTTTTAAAAACAAATTTATTAACAATTGAAATAAAACAATTTTTAAATCATTTCTTTTTTTTTTTTAAATTTACAATGGAGAAACCAAACTTTCACAAGTTGTCGTATGAAGCAAATGTAAAGGCATTTCCCAACAAGCGTAAGCAAGACTGTCAAAGAGAGGTAACTGAAATTTGGATTCAATTGAAAAAAGAGGATGATTTGCCAACAAAAGCAGATTCGTCATTGAATAGTTATGCCGCCTTAGCACAGAAAAATAAGGCAACACTAATGAACTTCTGGGCACACCAGTCTATGAACAGTAGATGTCCTTCCTAAAAAATCAGCCACAAATGTAAAAATTGAAGAAGAAGTTGTGAAACATCCAACACAAACCATTCAACAAGACCACATAGAAATCGATTTAGAAGCTGGTCCATCCAGTACTACTTGTGATGAAAAATCTGTAAAATACAAAGCAAAAGTACAAGATGAATTACAGAGCCAGATAAGCATCCTCAAGAGCCATTTAAATGGCTTGTATAGACGAAAAGAAAGTGGTGTTTTAAGTTCAGATCAGGAAAAGGAAAAGAAAAAAAAAAATTAAGGTTGATGAGCTAGAAAAGAAACTGAAAAGAAAGAAATTTGAACAAGAAAAGCAGAAGATATACAGAAAAAAGAAACTTAAACTCAAATTTGCGCTGAGAATCCTGACGTCAGCAGTCAATTGAAGATCCGACAGAAAACTGGTCGACCAACAATTGAAAAAGATCAGCCGCTCCTTTTAAAAACCATTGTTGACATGGCGTTGTACGGGTCTGCTGCTCATGACAAAAGACAGAGTGATGTTTATCTTAGTGTTAGAAATCTCGATGATTTGACAGAACAATTAAAGATTCAAGGTTTTAAAATAAGGAGAAGTGCTGTTTATACTCGGCTCTTGCCAAAACGAAGTTTATCATCGGAAGGCAAACGCCATTAACAACTGTACCAGTGGAGTTAATTCGAGCACAAAATGATTTACACTCAAAACACATTGATGGTAGATTTTGTACAGCTACTTTGAATCACCTAGAGGAAGTGGCTTCTTTGTTGGGACCTAAAGAAGTATGCTTCATCAGTCAAGATGACAAAGCCAGAGTCCCCCATTGGATTGGCAGCAGCTTACAAGCAAGCTCCACTTTTAATGCATGTCGAATACCGCGTTACATTGCCTGATCACAACTGGGTAGTAGCATCTAGACACAAACTCATACCCTCTGCTTATGCTGGCATTGAAATCCAAAAAAGAGGGGTTAGGTAAACCCGAAGCTGTAACATATACAGGCCCAACTGACATAGCCATCAGATCAGGCAAGCATTGCTCATCATCAGCTTAGAGCCATGGACTGGACTGTGAAAGGCTTCTTGAATTGGAAGAGTTTGACATTGTTACAAAGGATCCAAGCAACAAGTTGATCAAACCGATTCTTATGTCTGTGGATGGTGGACCTGATGAAAATCCAAGGTATCAAAAAGTTCTTGATGTGGCCATCCATCATTTTGTAAAGCAGAACAATGGTGCAATGTTTGTAACAACGAATGCGCCTGGTAGAAGTGCGTTTAATCGAGTAGAAAGGCCAATGGCTCCTCTTAGTCGAGAACTGTCGGGACTAACTTTGCCACATAAACATTCTTCCACCTTGACACACAGAAATATGGAAGCAAGTAAGCATAGACAATTTTCCAACAGTGGCAGAGTATATTGTGCCTGAAAAGTCTGAGCTTGAAAATTTAATAATCAAAGATCAAGTTTGGTGCCAAAACCATGTAAGAACAAGTCAGTACTTTCTACAAATTGTCAAATGTTGTGATTTAACTTGTTGCAGATTAGAAGCTCGTACTTTGATATTATTGCTGATAAATTTATCCCCCCACCAATTCCAGTCTGCCAAACTAATGAGGGCCGTACCAGATGTATCTGATATAATCTCACATAGATTTCCATCTCTTTTCTTCAATCAGTCTGTGAAAGTTGAAAACATACTACCTCGATCGGCAAAAGCATTCAAAATTCTTCCATATGATATATATTGTCCATCTATTCAGTTGCTATTGTTTCAACGGATCTGTAAAATCTGTCACCATTATGTTGCTTCGCAAGCCATGTTAAAGAAGCACGTTCAACAGCACCAACAATGTATGCCTGGGCCCAGTCAAATACTACATGCACCCCAACAGCAAAGAATTCATCCAATGTAAGTGGCTGCCAAAAGACAGCGAGAGTTCATGGCAATTATTGCTCATGGGGAGATGCTAAGTGCAGAATGGCTAGATGAAGAAAATGTTGACTTGTCTGGTGTTTCGGTTCCACAAGAAATTATTCAGCCAGAACCTATGCCAATAATAACACTTGAGGAACATTTGACATCTCCATGGGAAGATATATAGGCTAGAATATAAGATTTGGATTTGTGTGTACAAAAATATGTTAATAAATTAAAAGTGTACTTATAGTTTAACTTTGTAATCTCGTTTCTGCTTGAAGTTAGAACAAGTCTTAGTAAATATTCAAATAGTCTTTAAAGTGTTATAATATTAATTTGAAATTTGTTCATAATTTAAAGGTGTAATGTGGATACATTTTTGTAAACCCTATAATCTCTTTTCTTTTTAGAGTAAGCCTTTGTAGTTATAAATTGGAAATATGTTCATAAGTTAATATTAAAAGTTTATTTTTATTACTTTTTTTTCTAAACAATTTACTTTTATTCACTTTTTGTTGTAAACTAGTCTATTTAAAAAAAAAAATAAAAATGTTTCCATTTTATTTTTATTGGGGTGTAATCAAATGTTGACGTAATTTTAGAGGGGAGGGGGGTCTCTGAAAGCTTGACAAGTTGTTGACAAGGGGGAGGGGGGGGAGGTCAAAATCACCAAAAATTTGTTGACATAATTAATGGACAGCCCCTGAAGTATTTGTATGGACATTTTTTAAAAGCAGACTGTCACTGTCACTTGAAGTAGTTGAAGACGGATAAGTAAATTTATTTTTTTTTAATAATTTGGGAAAGCAACATTAAAAAACAGTCATCCTCATTTTAAATTATTATTGTAAAAAAAAAAAATGGAAACACCTTAACAGTTTTAAACTTAATTCTTTTTTAAATTTCCAAGCAGAAACCTGAAGCCAGACTGTGTCCGGGGCAAAAAAAGTGAAAGTGAACCCTTCTGATAATGATGAAAAACACTTGTAGATATTCATCAATTTAAAAAAAAAACATCTCATTTTAGTCCTGACATATTTTACAACCCCCCCCCCCCCCACCCAAAAAAAAAAAAAAAAAATAATTTAAAAATTGATAGATATTTACCATTAGTTTCCACCATTTTAAAAAGGGTTCCATTTTTATCAGGACAGTGTGTATAAAATACATATATCCTGGATTTAACAGAGCCTGCAAGATTCCAAGCTGGTAGATATTATGTGCTTTAGGACAGCTCACTAGGATGTATGAAAGGTGATGAAAGTTGTCCATCCAAACAGATTGAACCAATGGTCAAATTTTGTTTTAAAAAAAATGACCTTAAAAAGATTGCTGCTGGCATCCGTCCGTCACAATGTGAAGATGGAGTGGGCTTCGGAGGACGAAATCCACATGGCCTGGGATTATACTTCAAGGATTATAAGCTGGTTCCCAACAGCAAATCGCCTCTCTCCACGCCGCTGGGTAACCCAAGGGAACATCATTGGATGATACAGCTTGGTACCAGTGACGTCGCAGGAGTAGCCGGAATGTTTCATTGTATCAATGTTATCCGCCTTTCGGGACTCCATCTCCGGGTTTGATTTCAGAGTTTCCTTCTCTTAGATGAGTTGCCATCCAAGGTTAACGAGTCTCATCTACACGGGGTGCTGGTGGTGTTATTGCTTGACTGGGCTCTAGCTGGAATTGAACTCTAGACCACCAACTTGAGATTTGCTCAGTTTAGACCATTCGGCCACCCAGCACCTTAAAAAGATACTTTGCAAAAAAGGCAAGAAAAGAGAGGCATGAGCCTGTCAACGGGAAATTGAACAGGCAGACCTGGATATATGCGACATCCAGATGATGAGATCGTTATTCTCACCCTCTTCCTTGTGGGGGCTGCAGTCGAAGAAATATACATGGGTCGTGGTGACCTCAAGCCTTCCAGATAAGTTCACAGTCAGCAGAGATGACCAGCTTTTCTCGCCCTGTGTATTCTTCAATGTTGGCACTGGAAATACAAGAAGGACAACAAGGTAGAGGCCAATGTGCTGCGCTGGTGGAGTCTTAAACATACAGATTTAACAAATACAAGTTCTAGACATCTTCATTAGCTTCTAGGCTTTAAATTTATTGTGATGAATTTCTTGAAATATTTCCAAATTACGATGTGATATTAGAACACTAATTCATGGCACATTAAAAGGCCAATACAAGTATCAACTAAAATGAAAACGAGACATCGGCATGAGCCATACATGCCAACTTGTTGGGATTTAAAAAAAAAAAAAAAACTTTACAAAAGTACCACAACTACTGTACAAAAATCCCCATAAAACTGTGTAAAAAGTCATCCACAAATTTGAGAACACCACAAAAAACCGTAATAAACAAAATAGATTTTTTAAAAAGTGACATTTTCATCCGTACGTTATCAATGTTTTGGCTGCATGCAAACTTGGCCTTCTGGACAGGCCTACTTTTAAAAATTAATTTTACCTTCGCTGTGCACTTTTTAGCATAATTATAGATGAATAAAGTCCAATTTTCATCAGATTCTGTTGTTTTTTTACACTGATCAGTAGCAACTTTTATATGAATTGACCTTGATGACGAGTTTAATAGCAGTTTAGATGTATTTAGACATATTCTTCAGTTAAATATGCTAGCTGTAGTAATACAACAGATTCCAGTTTTAAATTAATGAAAGGAAATATGTTTTGTCCGTCTATACAAATCTATTAAGTCTACCAACAATTTATAGCTGTAGTTTCACTGCACCATGGGGAAAAGCCCTGTGGACTGTGGATAGTTTTTTTTTTTTTTTACCATATGCACTTTGAGGATGTGAAGTGTTAAATAGGATCATACAAACTGATGTGTGGCCATGGTTAACTACTGAAAGTAGTTACTGCCAAACAAGGCTGTCGTACTATTAACGAATGGTCAGTTCTATTGCCCATTGGTCTCAATGATGCTCAACGAAGCTGCACAGTTTCTACAATGGGATGGCCTACCCATCTTAGAACTTTGGGGTCAGAGGTCATTTTGAACAGACCAATAGGATTTCACCTTTCTGTTGACCAATTTATTGCACTGCCTGTTAAGATTTTAATCCTGCGTCTTCACTGTTGTGTGCAAAATTTTATTTGTCCAAATCCATTGAAAAACTGTAAGAATCATGTACGGCTGTACAACTCTAAACACAATTAACACTTGTACAATGTACAGCAAACCTTACAGGTTGACGTGATGGCTGAGTACTTCTAGTTTACACCATTGTTTGACTACATGTAAGTTAAAGCTACATACAATATAGTCTTAACAATAAAGTGCTGAGTGGGTTTTTTTAGGGTGGGGGGGAGGAACAATAGAAACTGTTGATACTAGGGTCAAGGTCTTACCTTGAGGCTGAGATGGCGCTCCACTCTTCATCTCCAAGTGTGTCGTCTGCAATGTTTTCTTTTGATACCAAAGCTTCTTTAACTCCCTTGAGTTCTTCTAAGCAGAGTGATGTCCCAGAATCAATTGATCCTAAAAATATCAAAATTTTCCCTGAGATGACAGGGAATCCCAATATTAAAAACCCACATTATCCCCAAAATAACCGGGGACCCTTGTGTTAGAGTACATACCCACATTGTCCATGAAGTGACGGGGTATCCCTATCACAAAGTGAATACCCACATTGACCCTGAAGTATGGGAACCCTGTGTTATACATACATTGTCCCTGAAGTATAGGAACCCTGTATTATACATACATTGTCCCTGAAGTATGGGAACCCTGTGTTATACATACATTGTCCCTGAAGTATGGGAACCCTGTATTATACATACATTGTCCCTGAAGTATAGGAACCCTGTATTATACATACATTGTCCCTGAAGTATGGGAACCCTGTGTTATACATACATTGTCCCTGAAGTATGGGAACCCTGTATTATACATACATTTGTCCCTGAAGTATGGGAACCCTGTGTTATACATACATTGTCCCTGAAGTATGGGAACCCTGTGTTATACATACATTGTCCCTGAAGTATGGGAACCCTGTGTTATACATACATTGTCCCTGAAGTATGGGAACCCTGTGTTATACATACATTGTCCCTGAAGTATGGGAACCCTGTGTTATACATACATTGTCCCTGAAGTATGGGAACCCTGTGTTATACATACATTGTCCCTGAAGTATGGGAACCCTGTGTTATACATACATTGTCCCTGAAGTATGGGAACCCTGTGTTATACATACATTGTCCCTGAAGTATAGGAACCCTGTGTTATACATACATTGTCCCTGAAGTATGGGAACCCTGTGTTATACATACATTGTCCCTGAAGTATGGGAACCCTGTGTTATACATAAATTGTCCCTGGAGATTTTGGGAACCCTGTGTTATACACGCATTGTCCCTGAGTTGGCTGGGGTCCCCTGTGTTATACATACATTGTCCCTGAGTTGGCTGGGGGCCCCAGTGTTATCCTTACTCACATTGTCCAATAGTTGGTTGGGGGCCCCTGTATTAAACATACCCACAATGTCCCTGAGTTGGCTGGGGTCCATTTGTTGTACACACTCACATTGTCCCTGAGTTGGCTGGGGGCCCCTGAGTTAAACATACTCACATTGTACCTGAGTTGGCTGGGGTTCCCTGTGCTATACATACCCACATTGTCCTTGAGATGGCTTGGGTCCCCTGTGCTTTACATACCCACATTGTCCCTGAGGTGGCTGGGGGGCCCCTGTGCTGTACATACCCACATTGTCCCTGAGGTGGCTGGCATTGATGTGACTATCAAAATTGTAGTTCTGAGTCAGTTTTACTTTCATGCGCTGAAAGTTTTCTTGGTTAGACAGTTTCCAGTGGACCACTTGTTGATGTCTGGAGATAACAGGAGCACATAACAAATTTTTTATAAGCTGGAGTTAGAATATAAAGTTACCTCACTAAGAAAAAGATCTATATCAAGGGCAACTTAACATTTAAATATTCAACCAAGACCAGCAGTCCCAAAATATTGGCTCAGCAGATATACTTTATAAAAGTGGCTCCTCAATCAAAAAAGGTTGCAGACCCCTGGCCGAGACCATTCAAACAATGTGAGTCACTAGACCAGACTAAGTGACTTACTTGTCCTTCCAAGCCCCTCCTTCGCCATTGAAGAATCGCTTGGTGGCCCTCCACTGTCTCAGTGAAAACAGCTGCTGATTTTTTTGCTGTGCCATCACGTTCTGGAACCTTCTGTTCTTGTGGTCTACTTTCTTACAATACTCAGTCTCTATCTGGTACTGTGGTCAAACATATGCATCATATGACCACAGATAGCATCGATTCTTTACTTTCATATTTTAAAAAGAAAAAACCTTGAATACTCATTCAGTGCTTTAAAAATCATCAACTTAAAATAGCAGTGCCATTGTTCCATTCCAACCAGTGGTGGCAACAATTGTTCCATTCCAACATCCAACCAGTGGTGGCAACAATTGTTCTATTGTCCCATCCAACCAGTGGTGGCAACAATTGTTCCATTCCAACATCCAACCAGTGGTGGCAACAATTGTTCCATTCCCACATCCAACCAGTGGTGGCAACAATTGTTCCATTCCAACATCCAACCAGTGGTGGCAACAATTGTTCCATTCCAACATCCAACCAGTGGTGGCAACAATTGTTCCATTCCCACATGCAACCAGTGGTGGCAACAATTGTTCCATTCTCACATACAACCAGTGGTGGCAACACTTGAAGCCAAGGGAAAAAAAAAATACACAAGTTCCTATTGCAATTTGTTATTTTGGACCATGTGTCTGCTTGATGTCCGTCCATATTCTCTTTGATTACTTTATATAATTAAAATTTAAAAAACAAAACAAAAAAACAGTTTCCCTTCTTTGTGTCAATGCTAGTTGATATTTTCAGTTGTTGTGTCAATCAAAATTTGTTTGGTTTTCAATAAATATCATTTTTTGGCATAAATGATCATCTGCTAAAGCAATGTCTCCCTGTGTGAGGGTTTTGCTCTGAAAAGGGGGGGGGGGCAAATTATTTAATCTCTGAGAAAGAACCAATCAAAAAAGGGGAAAAAATGGGAGGGGGTGAGACAGTATACTTTTAAAAGTTAATCCCTGCTATTATTTGTAATGGCTTGATTTCCAGATACATGGCACTTGCTGTGAGTTTTATTCTACAAATATGGCTTGGAAAACTACATCCAGCGGACAACATCCGACCCGCAACTTTTGTGCAGACATTATGCAAGGAGGTAGACAAATCCATTGCATAATTTTATTTGGACTGGACAAAATTAAAGTGTGTCGCAGCAAAGGGACAGACAGGATAGGGCGGTGAACTTTTTTTTTTAGGTGCTCAGCTCGAGCGTGCGGGGGTTAAAAAAAGATTGGTTAAAAACTAGACTAGTGATTTTAGAAAAATTTTGGGACATCATTCTTACCTTAAATCTGAGCCTGCTCTCCCCTATCTCTCTGTTATGTTTGTGATGGTTCATCATCATCTCCTCATGACAGTCTGACCAGAAGTGCATCATGATCTGGGCACTCTCCTAAAAGTTCATCTCAATGAAGTGGGTCATTTGGGGTCCAACCTACAAGAACCACGACAACAATTATATGACGCTATTCATCACTGTAAAAATATTCTGGGAATGTCTGCCATTCATCACTGTACACACATTCTATGAATGTCTTCCAATGTACACATATTCCACGTATGTCTACAATTCATCACTGGACACACTCTCTATGAATGTCTTCCAATTGTGCACATACTCACATAGCTCTTTATGAACGTCTGCCATTCATCACTGTACACGTATGTCTTGAAGTCATCAAAAAATGTGGGAATCATGGATGACTTGGGTAGATGAGGGAGATGAATGCTGGTGGTCAAGAGTTCTTGACCTTTCCCAATCAGAGCTCTCAGCACAGGCATCATGTAGGCATAGTTGTCCAAGTTGGCTAGGGAAATCAATGCATTAAATAGTCAGGTTTCATGAGGTGCAAGTGCTTATTCAGTTCTTTGTAACATTAAAAGGAATTTTTGTTAATAGATTTTTAACAGTAGGGTATCTGATATTGTTTTGAAATTTCAATAGTGGTGTTCCGGAGATTATTTTGAATCTTAGGGTATCTGATATTGTGGGGTAAATGAAAAAAGTTGAGTTTTGGGGTAATAGAAACAAAGTTGAATAGTGCTGTACCTCAAATTGTTTTGAATAGTGGGGTATCTGAAACAATGTTCGGTTACGTTGATTTTATTGAACAATTTAAATCTCAACACTGCCAACACCGCTGTAACTCCCAACACTGCTGTAACTGCCAACATCGCTGTAACTGCCAACACCGCTGTAAATGCCAACACCGCTGTAAATGCCAACACCGCTGTAACTGCCAACACCGCTGTAAATACCAACACTGCTGTAAATGCCAACACCACTGTAAATGCCAACACTGCTGTAAATGCCAACACCACTGTAAATACCAACACTGCTTTAAATGCCAACACCACTGTAAATACCAACACTGCTGTAAATGCCAACACTGCCAACACCGCTGTAAATGCCAACACTGCTGTCAATGCCAACACTGCCAACACCGCTGTAAATGCCAACACTGCTGTAACTCCCAACACTGCTGTAACTCCCAACACTGCTGTAACTGCCAACATCGCTGTAACTGCCAACACCGCTGTAAATGCCAACATCGCTGTAAATGCCAACACCGCTGTAACTGCCAACACCGCTGTAACTGCCAACACCGCTGTAACTGCCAACACCGCTGTAAATGCCAACACCGCTGTAAATGCCAACACCGCTGTAAATGCCAACACTGCTGTAAATGCCAACACCGCTGTAAATGCCAACACCGCTGTAAATGCCAACACCGCTGTAAATGCCAACACCGCTGTAAATGCCAACACCGCTGTAAATGCCAACACTGCTGTAAATGCCAACACTGCTGTCAATGCCAACACTGCAGTCAATGCCAACACTGCTGTAAATGCCAACACCGCTGTAAATACCAACACTGCTGTAAATTCCAACACTGCTGTAAATGCCAACACTGCTGTAAATGCCAACACTGCTGTAAATGCCAACACCACTGTAAATACCAACACTGCTGTAAATGCCAACACCACTGTAAATACCAACACTGCTGTAAATGCCAACACTGCTGTAAATGCCAACACCACTGTAAATACCAACACTGCTGTAAATGCTAACACCGCTGTAAATGCCAACACCGCTGTAAATACCAACACTGCTGTAAATGCCAACACTGCTGTAAATGCCAATACTGCTGTCAATTCCAACACTGCTGTCAATGCCAACACTGCTGCCAATGCCAACACTGCTGTAAATACCAACACCACTGTAAATACCAACACTGCTGTAAATGCCAACACTGCTGTAAATGCCAACACCGCTGTAAATACCAACACTGCTGTAAATGCCAACACTGCTGTAAATGCCAACACCACTGTAAATACCAACACTGCTGTAAATGCCAACACTGCTGTAAATGCCAACACCGCTGTCAATGCCAACACTGCCAAAACCGCTGTCAATGCCAACACTGCCAACACCGCTGTAAATGCCAACACTGCTGTAAATGCCAACACTGCTGTCAATGCCATCACTGCTGTAAATGCCAACACTGCAGTTAATGCCAGCACTGTCATTCTTATGACTGCCATTCAGTTATCAATATAAATCATGAGGGATAAACCCTTCACCTTGGAGACACAGCTACAAAGCTAAACGCAAGTGAAGTAACTTATAAGTACCTTCAATGGACTTAATGATCATTGAGTTCAAGTCCCCCAGGATGTAGGAAGCTTCGGCCGAGCTGCTGATGAGCTTGGTTTGGACGAGGGAGTGCAGCCTGACAGTTGATGAGGACACCAGCTGTGAAATAAGGGTCAAAATGAACAGTGAAAATAAACTGGAGTATGAACTGAAACTTACTAAGATTTTACTCAATGAGGCTTATATCAATGATTCAATCATCCAAAAACTTTGACGTTATTTTATTATTTTTTTCTCTACAACTTTTGAGTCTCATTGAGACGACGATGGTGAAGTGCCGCAACATGTGTCTCTGAGACCTCTCATTGAGACGACGATGGTGAAGTGCTGCAACATGTGTCTCTGAGACCTCTCATTGAGACGACGATGGTGAAGTGATGCGACAAGTGTCTCTGAGACCTAGCATTGAGACGACGATGGTGAAGTGACGCTACATGTGTCTCTGAGACCTATCATTGAGACGACGATGGTGAAGTTTTGCAACATGTGTCTCTGAGACCTATCATTGAGACGACGATGGTGAAGTTTTGCAACATGTGTCTCTGAGACATATCATTGAGACGACGATGGTGAAGTTTTGCAACATGTGTCTCTGAGACCTATCATTGAGACGACGATGGTGAAGTTTTGCAACATGTGTCTCTGAGACCTCTCATTGAGACGACGATGGTGAAGTTTTGCAACTACACAGAGACTCTGGATAGTAACTCTGCTGCTACCACTTCAAAAGCAACATGTGTCTCTGAGACCTATCATTGAGACGACGATGGTGAAGTTTTGCAACATGTGTCTCTGAGACCTATCATTGAGATGACGATGGTGAAGTTTTGCAACATGTGTCTCTGAGACCTCTCATTGAGACGACGATGGTGAAGTTTTGCAACATGTGTCTCTGAGACCTCTCATTGAGACGACGATGGTGAAGTTTTGCAACATGTGTCTCTGAGACCTATCATTGAGACGACGATGGTGAAGTTTTGCAACATGTGTCTCTGAGACCTAATCACACAAGGTGTCTGGAGTTTTGTTTTTATTTGTTCATAATCAGTACTGACCACACAGCCAACCAGTCAACCCTAATATCAAGTATCAAGCATCAATCCAAAATACCCAGCATCAACCTCCAAAAACCTAATATCAATGCTAAATATCAATTATCAACACCAAATACCAAGCATCAACTTCTAGTAAGGCTGTCAATGAAATGAGACTATATTTGTATACCTCCAGATCTGGTTGCTTCGAGAATGCTAGCAGCACTGAGAACCCTCTGTGGACCATCTCTGTCCAAGCCACCATAGCTTCTGTGTCCCAGACACCCAGACACATCCTCAAGGAGCTGTAACATACAAGTTTTAGGTGAATTGTAACACACAAGTCTTAAGTGAGCTGTAACATACAAGTCTTAAGTGAACTGTACACTCAAGTCTTAACTCTCAAAAGACTGTAGATTTTTCCATT